GAGAGGGGAGAGGGGAGGGAGGGGGGGAATCTTATATTATTATGTAGTTTTTGTTGGATTGTACTGGTGTTATCGTTGATGATGATTGTGATGATGGTAATTATGATGGTGATGATGATGATGATGATGATGATAATGAGGAGGAGGAGGAGGAGGAGGAGGAGGAGGGGGCGGATAGTATCGAAGAAGACTTTGGCTCTCCCAGCACAATAACGTCATTGTTTTTCGTGAACAACTTTTCGTTCCATCATTTACGTTGTGACTTCAGATTATGTATTAATAAGCCAACTCGACCATTCTCATTCGTCTTTTCAGTCAGTGGCCTTTTGATTTCACTTTCAACAATTATACACTGGGGTGAAATGGCATTTTCCACAGTATGGGTTGCCTTCTTTCAGCGCGTCTGTCTGAGATTGAAGAAAAAAAACATAGTCATTTATCATACTCGTATATACAGTTCTAGAACAAAATATTCCATTACCATTTTTATTTTAACTATCTTTTAGTCAAATATACAGTACGCAAAAGTCCTGTTTGAACCCATGGTGATTGGAAATTTCCAAAACAAAAACAAAAAGTAAAAATGGCGTGCAAGCAGGGAGCCATGAATTCATTATTAGAAACAGAAGACTGGAAAAACAAGCTTCCTTTTATACCTTTACAAAACAAAGTATGACGACACTGGTTGCTATGTTTAGCCTGTTTTGCTGCACAATGACATCGCAGTTTTTTCATGCCCCGACACATTCCCAGCCATCATACACAGACCAGAAACACCAACTTACAATAATATAGTCTCTTTTAAGGACAAGTTGGCTCACCCAGATTTCAGGGGTTTCCAGATACCTTGACCTATAAAAAAATGGACATTGCCCTGCCTAAAGGAGACCTTTGGTTTCATAGGTGTGTATATTTTTTTGGTTATAGAGAAAACTACTAGACTTTTAAAGAAACTGAATAAGGAGCAAAAACTTTACCTTCGATTTTTCTCAAAACAGCATTTTTAGGGATAGCCCCCTTGTGCTTAAAAACGACCATATATTTCACAGTATGCATGTCATAGCGTGCCTTTTTAAGTTTCAGATATTTTTTAAAAAACAGAATAGAGAAATCTGCTTAAATGAGAAAGATATGCTTCGTTTGTTTGAATGTCCCCAAAAAACAGCTCGCTCTGTTGTCTCTTCTGGACTTGTCGAGAGACCAGAACTTGCGTCGTCAAAGAGTTAACTTAGAACACAAAACCATAGTTAACACAGAAACATAGTTAACACAGAACCATAGTTAACACAGAAACATAGTTAACACAGAAACATAGTTAACACAGAAACATAGTTAACACAGAACCATAGTTAACACAGAACCATAGTTAACACAGAAACATAGTTAACACAGAAACATAGTTAATACAGTTAACTCGGAACCATAGTTAGCACAAAACACAGAAGCATAGTTAACACAGAACAATCGTTTACACAGAACACAGAACTATAGTTAACAAAGAACACAGAACCACAAATTTGAATTCTAACAATCCTAGACTGGGCACTGTCATGACCACCCCTCTTTGCTGTCCAAAAAAAGAAGAAAAGAAAGAAAAAGAAAGAAAAAGAAAGAAAAAGAAAGAAAAAGAAAGAAAAAGAAAAAGAAAGAAAAAGAAAAAGAAAAAAAGAAAAAGAAAAAGAAAAACTTCGCCACGCCGGTGCGTACCTTGGACGTGCAAATAAAGAGCAAAACACGTACAAGCAAAGATCGTATATAACAAGATAGTTCACTCTAGCAAAAAAAAGTGTCCGCGGAAGTCCGCGCATTGCATTGCTTCAGATGGTACTGCAGTCTTTGTTTTGAAGCTCTCTTTCGCTTCTCCAGAAGAAGAATAGGAATAGCACAGTTTGTTAGTTTCGCTTTTATTGTTTTTCACACAAGTAGGTCAAGGGTAACTCTGTTCGCAAAGTCCGCGCTTTTTGGAAGAGGGCGCCACCGGATTTTGAGGACACTTTTTGATTGGCTCAAAGAGAGGAATGAATTGTCTTGTTAATGTTATATACGATCTTTGACACAAGTTTCGCTATAGCTGAGTGCTTAAGCAGCATCGTTCCATCTAACCCCCTTCATTTCATTCCAAATACATTGTAAATTATCGAATGGTGAGCTCCATAGCGGAGCAGAATTACGTCAAGAGTGCCCAGTCTAGAGTGATGTAACGCAAATCTCAGCACAGAGCTCATTGATTGGCTGCTGCCGGAATGGATGAAGCGACTTACTTGAGCTCTCCGTGAAGTTGAAAGCGTGCGCTTCCTGGGTGGTGAAGGGGGTGTGGT